ATAATAATAATACTTATATATTTAATTAATTAATTGTCTTTTGTTTCAATAAATAAATAAAAATCCTTTTACTTATTTATTTATTAATAGATAAATAATCATTATATATAAAAATTTATTTAAATGGTGAAATTAAGTAATAATAATAATAATAATAAAAGGCAGCAAAAAATTTTTTAAATTTAAATTTAACGTAATAATAATAATAATAAATTAAAAAAATTTTTTTTTTTTTATGTACATAATAATAACTTTATTTATTTATTTTCTAAGGGAATAATAAAAACATTTTATTCGTTCTTATTTATGTATTTATTTATGTATGTGAATTAATAATGTTAATGATAAATAAAAATAAATTGGGGAGGGGAAGAGTTTAAATGTATTCTGTGACGTTGTCATGCGTTGTTGATTTGTTAAATGTTTATTATTATTATTATTTTATATAAATTCAGGTTTCCCGATTATCATTATTATTATTATTTACAATTAATCCCCTATTTAAAAAATATATTCGTCATTCACGACATATAATAATAATATATTTTTTTTATACAATAATAATTTTAAAAAATTTTCTTCAGTTTTAATTAATTTTTTTATTTTATTAACAAAACAACAAAAGTGAATAACAACAAATAATAATAATAATAAGTTAATAACAAAAAAATTGGATTTTGACGATTACGAAAATGTTAAAATAATAATAATAATAATAATAATAATAATAATAATTTTTGTTTTATGAAAATTTTTTTTAAAAACAATTTGTTTCATCATCATCATCATTATCGTCATTATTATTATCATTATTAAAGTTATACTTTTTACAATGCTTTCACGCGCGTATAATAGAGTGCTTGTGTGTGTGTGTGTGTGTAAATAATCGGGGGGAGCGAACGAATATTCATTTTTACCGTTTGAGTACGAAAGAAAAAAATTATTTTTTATTTGATGTGTGATTTGAATATTTGAACGTGTGTGCGAGTGCGTGAGTGCGTGCGTGCACGTGCGTGTGTGGGTGTATGGGTGTGTGTGGGCGGGTGATTACGAACGAACATTTAAAAAAAAAAAATTTTTTTTTTCTTCTTCTTCTTAATTACGTAATAATTAATTTTCTTTTTTAAAAAATACAAGAAATAAGAGAAATATTATTATTATCATTATCATTATCATAATCATTATTTAATTCGATTTATTACGTTAATTAATTATTTATATTATTGATTAATATTTAAAAACTTTTTTGTTTTGTTTTGGCGCGAAATTTAAAAATCGCACGCGCGTAATATATATATATATGTATGTATGGTTAACTTAAAAGTTTTTCACCGTTCAACGATGACGTCATCGATTTTTTACGTAGTGGTAGTAGTGGTGGTGGTGGTAATAATAATAATAATAATAATAATAATAATAATAATGGTAGTGCCTAATATAAACATAACATCAATTATCCACATCCAAATCCGGACATAGTAAATTCAAATCAACGGTTTCGGTGGAAACGTTTTGCGAAAGGTCCGTCATTGAATTAACTCTCGAAGTCGGAGTCACGATTATTTCCGTTCCGGCGGCTCTCGTTAACAAAAGGGAACCGGAAGTTTTATTATTTTCTTCTAATGTTTTTTTAGTTGTTCCCGTTGTTCCCGTTCCGGTTCCTCCCGTTACCGTACCCGACGTCGCCACTCCCGTTCCCGTTCCCGTTGCAGCCGCACCCGCCGCCATCGCCGCCGTCGTCTTTTGAATTTCCGTTTTGTAAACTTTTATCTGAGCCTTTTTCCTTTCCTCGGACGAAAAAGTTTTTCCTGAGTGAAAACGTTCATCGTTGATTCTTGTTTTCAACCGAGGATAACACTCTGTAAGGGGAAATCATTTTTTAATAATTTTTTTTTTTTTTTTTTCACCAATTTCATTCACTTTTTTTTTTTAAAAACATAAAATTATTAATAACGATTAAACAAACGAGCAAACAAACAAACAAACAAACAAACAATAAAAAGCAAAAAGCAAACGGAATAAAAAAAAAATTTTATTTTGTGAAACGAAAACGATTTTCCCTGAAAGGAAAAAAAAAAAAAAATTTGTTTTTCTCTCTCTTTATCTCTCTTTCATTTACAAAATGGCGGGAAAAAATTATTTATGCAGGGAAAAAAATTCCCTGCAGGGAAAACGGAAATCGATTGAATAATTTGTACTTTTTTTTTTTGTATTTTTAAGTAAATAAGAGTTTTTTAATTAAGCATACGACATTTTCCTGTCGATTTTTTCGCAATTATCATCATTATCATTATTATTATTATTATTTTCCGGGACCGGGTTGTGACGACGTGTAAGCGTAAAGTTAATAAATAAATAAATGAATGATAATAAAAGGATGAAATCATTTATTTACATTGAAATAACGTACAAAACTCTTTTTCAAAAATTTGTATGTTTTACAAACGAGAAAGTTAATTAAAGAGTTAAAACGGAGAGAAAGTGAGGGGTGAGAGAGAAAGAGAGGGGGCGGAGGAACGATGAAGGGGGGATGTGGGAGTGCGTGAGTGCGTGCGTGCTCGGGTGCGTTTGTGCGTGCGTGAGAGAAAAGTTTATAATATGTGCCTCGAGGGGGCCGCGGGTTAAATTTTCAAAAAGGGTTTTCCCGCATTCTCTTTCTCTCCCCCCCGCTCTCTCACCCTCTCACTCTCTCTCTCTCTCTCTCTCACTCTTTCTCTCCTTTTTTTTTTTACGTTTCTCTAGTTTTCTGGAATTTCCTTTTATCTTAAAATTCATTACTCAAACCCGAACCGAATTTTCTTTCTCCTCTTTTCCTTCTTTCCTAAAAAAAAAAAAAGAAAAAAAAAAATTTATTCCTACTTTTCTCTCTCTCTCTCTCTCTCTCTTTCATCCAGTTTGCGTATATATATATATATATATATATATATATTCCGTTTAAAAAAAACCTTTTGATATTTTTTTTTTTTTTGTTTTTACTGGAAAAAAAAAAACCTGGAAGCGAACAAAAAAATTTTTTTTTTTGTTAATACAAAAATACAAAAAAAAAAAAAAAAAGAAGCAAAAACAAACAACAAGCAGCAAAAGCCGAATAAGGCGGGGGCGGGGGCGGGGTGGAGCGAATGGGGAGAGGGGAATGAATTGTTATTTTTTTTATTTTCAACTCTTAACATTTAACGCTCGACGACAGGAAAACAAAAACAACAACAACAAATTCCAATAAAAACATTCAACAAGCAACAACAACAACAACAACAACAGCAACAGCACAAATAATAATTATTTATCGATTAAAAACATTTAAATTATATGCCGACGAAATTTTGTTTGGGGTATTAGGAAATCCACTCTAACAAATTAAATTTTTTTTATTTTTTCCTTACTACTTCCACACACAAAAAGGTGTGCTCGTATGTGTGTGCGTGTGTGAGCACGTGCGCTTGCGCGTGTTGGGTCGGGGGTGGGGGTGGGTACGAAGGTACGAATGACGAAAATGGTGAAAAGGGATAATCATCAATGTAATGTATATATGTACAGATGTAAACGAACGTACCAACGAACGAACCAACGAACGAGAAATAAAAAAAAAAAAAAAAACACATAATGAAGCAGGGCCGGATTAAGAATTATTCATTTTAAATTGTTATTATTATTAATATTTTTCTTCATGTTAATCAGACCCCCTTAACGCCACATAATAAGAAATGATACGTACACATACATGTACGCACGTATAAAAATTTTTTGAGTCATTTATTATTATTATTATTTTTTTTTTTTTTTTTGACTCATTTAAACTCACAATCATCTAATGGATTAATATATAAATGACGTCATAGACTTGTCGATGAGCAATTTATGAATGAAGCTGAAAAATTAAGATTAACTCAATTTCAATTTATAATCCTTTAAAAAAAAAAACGTCGGTTGATTAAATTATTGACGTTTCATTTATTATTATTATTATTATTAATATTAGTGATGCGTTATTTAAAATTTATCGATGGATCGATCGATCTATCGATCGATTCGCACCGTTGCGAAAAAAACCAAAAAAAAAAAAAAATTATTTATTTATTTATTTACTTCTACGATAAATTTTTTTTTTTTTTTGAAATTAATTAATCGATTAATCGATTTATTTGTTTCGAGATTCATGGCTTCCATTTTTATTTTACTTTTGCGAAATCAACAAACTTTGCAAAAAAAAAAAAAAAAAAAAAAAAAAAAAGAAAATTTCGTGCAAACAAGCTTTTTTTGTTTTTTATGAAATCAAATTACTTTAAATTAAATAAATGCCATGTGAAAATATTCTACGTGTGAGTCGATATCATTATTATTATTATTATTATTATTATTATTATTATTATTATTATCATCGTTATATATCGTTATTATTATTATTATTATTGATATTGATAAAAAGCTACGATTTAAAAAAAAGAAAAAAGAAAAAAATAAAGAAAAACTCACCGGAACTATCGTTCATTGAATTATCCGGATCGTTGTCTATCGCCACGACGGTTTGTACGCAACCACTTCCGGACGTGGGAACGATTATGACTACGTCTTTTGTATTTTCTCTTCCGGATCCGGATTCGTCGACGATTGAGCTACTAACGTTCGACGAAGGAAACGAACTGCTAAAAAAAATTTTACCGAATGAAAAAATAATAATAATAAAAATGGCGTCTCGATCGTTCGTTTCTAACCTGAGCGTGACTTTTTTTTTTATTTGATGGGAATCCCCGCTTCCTTTTGCCGATGATGATGATAATGATGATGACGTCGTCGCCGTCGTCGTTCTGTGTTCGCTGTTTACGAATGCTGTCGTTTTTGACGTCGGAGAATTCGGTTCCGAACTTATTTTTTCAATTAGTATCGGTTTGGGTAAAAATTGAGAGTTCAACGGTAAAACGGAAACGGACGATGAATTGCTGCAGTTTCCTCCTGTGTCGAACGTGTATTATTATTATTTAATCCCGTCCCACGTTCGTATTTGTTTACACTTTGGAGGTGACACACGTACCTGATGTTATTTGGGGTTGAGGTTCTTGATTCAATGGAATGGTCAATATTCTTTTTCTATCTTCCATGTACAATTCCATAAATTGATCTAATTTATTTTCAATGTCGTCGACTTGTCTTTCTATTTTCACTACTCTCGATGCCAAACTTATTTTACTCGCGTAAACATCTTTAGCTTTTGACCCCTGTTTTCCCAATATTTGGTCCAACCTGTGCATTTCATTGTAAAATATATTAAACGAAGAAAATTTTTTTTTTTTTAAATAAAACGAAGAGTTTCCATCTCTCTCTCTCTCTCTCTCTCTCTCTCTCTCTCTTATCCACCTTTAACCGGTTAACACGTACCTGTATTGTAAATTTCTAGTTCTGTTTAATAAATCAGCGTGTCCAGAGGAATATTGTTCCATGACGTCTTTTACGTCGTAAGGTTTCAATGCTTCCCTGAACTTTCTCCTAGCTACGAAGTATTTTAACTGTTCGCCGTGGATTCCATAACAAAAGCGAAAGCAAGCACAAACAAAGGAAAAAAACAATTTTTTCTTTTTTTTTTTTTTGTTGGTTTCGTATAATTAAAACAAACAACAAACGATATCGAAAGTAAAAAAAAAAGGAAGGAAAGTTTGGATGCGACACGAGCAGAAGACTTTTTTTTTTTTTTAAAGGAAATCAGGATGATTGTACGAATTTTAAAAATAAAAGTTAACCGTCGTCGTTAGTCGACAACAACAACAACAACAGCAACAAAAAAAAATTTTCCAACCGCGAAGCGTTTTATCATGTTCTCGAAATAAATCTCGAATGATATCTTTTTGATAAATATTCCATCTATTTCCGGTCAATCGAGGTTATCGATTGTTTTAAATCGAAATCTAAAATATTTTACGGCTTTTATCAATTCCTTTTACCTTTTAGTTACGTGATAATAAAAACGTTTTTAGATTTGATTATTTTCTCTCTCTCTCTCTCTCTCTCTCCCCCACTCTCTCACTCGTTTCTTCTCTTTGCGCTTTTCTCATGGAAAATAAAAAATAATCATTTCGTCATAACCTCGTAAAATTTTAATTAATGACGTCATTTTAATCATTCGACGTGATAACATTGTAAAAACAAAGGAAAACACGCATTTTACACACAAACATTATTATTACTATTTTTGTTGTTGTTGTTGTTTGCGGTTGTTGTTGTTGTTGTTGTTGTTAATGTTACGGTTACTTTAATTGATGTAGTTTGTAGATAATTAATCACAAATAAAATAAAAACAAACGAATTGATTAATATCGATTAGTTGTTAAGAAGACACGTGTACGTACGAACGAACGAATAACAACCAGATAAAACAAACAATTTTCTCTCTCTTTCTCTTTCTTTCTCTTACTCCCTCTTTCTCTCTTTCTCTTTCTCACTCTACGTGCACGTAATTAAACTTAACTTATTTGTACGTCTTTAACCCTTCCGAGTAAATCAGCATGTCCCGCCGAATATTGTTCCATCACGTCCGTCACATCGTAAGGCTTTAATGCCTCTCTAAATTTACGTTTGGCAACGTAAAATTTTATCTGTAATCACAGCACAAGTCACGTTTCTCAATCTATCTATCTATATATGAAATCCAACCGTCGAATTTTTCCCTTTTTTTCCTTTTTTTCCTTTTATTTTCCTTTTTTTTTTTTCCTTTTTTTCGCCGCTCCATTTTGTATCGGTTAACGATTCGCTAACGCGAATAAAAAAAAAAAAAAAAAAAAAAACAGGTCGAAAAGGGAATATAAAAAGGGAGAAATTCGACAACAACGGTTCGTGCGTGATAACGATTTAATTATCATCATCATCATCATCATCATTATTATTATTATTACTATCATTATCTATTTAAAAAAAAAAAACGACTCCCGCAAAACAATTTTCAATCACGTGATGACGAAACAAACCCCGGACGAAACTGAATGAATTCGGTATTGGTAAATAATAATAATAATAATAATAATATAACGACATAACGTAAAAATTTAAATATTAATAATGATAATGATAATAAAATTTGACCGTTAAATTTTAAGAGGTTTTTCAAAAACGAATTAAAAAAAAAAAATAGAATCTGCGAAACTTTGATGACGTAAAAAAAAAAAAAAAAAAAAAAAAAAAATTATTCAAAGTGGAAAAGTTTTGTGAAAAGCGAATTCGAACGTTCTAGAATTTATTAGAACGTTAGTTAAAAAGGGAAATTTTTCCCAACGCGATACCCTCTTAATATTTTAACTAAAAAGTAAGTAAGTACTAAACTACTACCACTACTACTACTACCACCACGACTGCTACCACGACTACTATCACTCCTTCTGCTCCCACTAATTAGTTTTGTAAACTTTTCCCACCGTTACTCGATGACCCTCATTCGTCTCATAATAAACTTTTCCGATTTATTAAACTCGTTAATAAAAAAGATGAAGACAGGATAAGGAAAAGGAAAAACGGGGGCGGGGGGAGGCAAACGAAACGGCCTCAGGGGAAAGGAGAGAAAAAAAATTCCCGAATTTTCCCCGTTCGAAGGCGATGACTAATAATAATTTAAATACTTCAAAAAAAGGTTTCCTGGAAAATTGATGGTGAGCGTGGAAAAAATCTAGGAAAGGGATCGGGTATCGGTACATATTTCGACGTGGTAATAAATAATAAAACGAAACTTACTTTTCTAATTGCACGTATTGCTCCTTTATGTTGATTCGTTAATTGTATGTACCTTGGTTCTTCGTCTTCATCTGAAATTATAAAAAAAAAAATTTCGATTAGTTTTTTCGATACGAGATATCGATTCGCTGGATAATTATAAATATATAATTTTTTTACTGGAAAAATAAAAAAAACGCACTCCAGAAGAAGCATAAAAAAAAAAAAATATAAAAAATTATTTTTATTTAACGTGTGTGCTTGAAAAAAAAATTTTATAGAAAAAACTCGTCCGTGTCGTCTTTGCGTGGCGGAAGAAAGGAAGAAAAAAAAAAAAAAAAGAAAAAACGCTGGAAGAAGAAGCAAACGATCGACGCATCATCAACTGGAAAAGAAATAATAATAATGATAATAATAATAATCATTTTTCACGCCGGATGTTATTACGGAGGAGACAAAAAAAAAAAAAATTTTTTTTCTCTCGCCTAAGGGGCGAAATCCCCCCCTTTTTTTACAATTTATAAACGAGTCATCGATGATGATGATGATGATGATGTTAATAATAATGATGTTAATGATGATGATGATGATGATAATGATGATTATGACTCGTAGCAAAACGTAATAAAAAAAAAAAAATATTCAAAGGCAAATAACGAAAGGAAAACGTTAAAAGTCGTGGCGCGTACTTTACAAAAAAAAGAACAAATTGACTACTCCCACGTTATACTAAAAATTAAAGTGGGGTATAACACGATTCAAAAGCGAAAAAAAAAGGAAAAAAATTCTTTTGTCAAAGGAATTTCTGACGCCTTTCAGGTATGTTTATATACACGAAAAAAAAAAGGTTAAAAGGTTAATTAATAATTTTAATCTCGAATTTCCCAACGCAAATATATATACATATTCGTTTTCAAAGTGTTTAAAAAAAAAAAAACCCGCGACGACACGCGTGACTGACTGACGAACTGACGTGACAAACGATTTAAATAATCGTTTGTTTGTTTGTTTGTTTTTTTTCGGTCAACAACAAAAAAGGTTAAATCCTCGAGTACCATAAAAACTAATAAAATCCGTGTTTTTTAATTAAAAATTTTTTACAAATTTCCCCCTTTCTCTTTCCCCCTTCTTCCCCATCCTTTTCCCTCCCCTCCCCACACACACAGGAAAAACCAAATCGAATTTTGTGACGTTAAGCATTTCCTATTATTACGTGTGCTGGAGTAAAAAAAAAAAAAAAAAAAAAAAGCAAAATTTTAAAATCAAAAAAAGGCAAAATTTTTGAAATTTGAATAATTTTTACTTACGCGCGTTTTTCATCTCTCATCGAACAAAAAAAAACTTTTCCAAACAAGCACTCCCCTACCCCTACCCACCCCTCCTCCCTCCCCGCCAACGGAAAATTGTTTTCGTACAATTCTGAACAAATCGAATATTATCTCCTTTCGTTTTCGAATTTTCGGAAAATTCGAAACAGGAAAAAAAAAAAAATGTTAGTGAAAGCGAAAAACAAAAGGCAATGCAGCAGAATAAAAAAAAAAAAAAAAAAAAAAGAGAAAAACTATTCAAAATTGATTTTGATTCCGTCATAGTAATAATAATAATAATAGAAATTGTTGAGTTTTTTTTTTTTTTTTTTTTTGGTTAATTTTCCTTACGTTCATCAGGAGTTTCTTCTTCTTGACACGGACTCAATAGATTCGATAATTTCTTCTTTCTAGCTCTGTTCTTACTCCATTCCAGCATTGCTAAAGCAAAAATGAGAAAATTTTTTTCTGAAATTTTATTTTAACAAACCTGCCTGGAAACTTTTCAACTCGAAAAAATTCGTTATTAACGTTAAAATAATAATAATAATAATAATAATAAATAAAAACCTAATGAGTCGGGAAATCGGGAGAAACGAGAGGAAGAGGAAAATTCCAACAGGGTTTGGAAAAGTACGAGTTCTCCAGTCAAAACGGTTTCTCCAAAAAACAAATATGTAAAACAATGATGAGAGAGAGAGAGAGAGAGAATATTCGAACGAACGTGACTATCGAAAGAAAGAAAGAAAGAGAGAGAGTAAAAAAAAAAAAAAAGAAAAAGTGAAAGCGACAACAACGATAAAAACAAACAAACAAACAACAAACGTTAAATAGAAAAATTCACGGATGAAATGTTTTTAAAAAAAGGAAAAAATTTCCGCAACTACAAAAAAAAAAGAAAAAAAAGAGCAGCAGAAGAAAAAAAATTTAAATAAACAAAGAAAAAGAAAAAGAAGAAAAAAAAACCACAAAAACGAAAAAAAAAAGAAAAAAGAAAAAAAAAGAAAAATTTACGGAGTTTTGAATTTCGGTTAAGAAAAAATAAAAAAAAATAAAAAAACGCGGGAAATGCAGAGAGAGGAGTTAGTGAGAGAAAAGGAGCGGATAAAAATAACTTCCGGTTTCCGGTTTTTATTTTCCGACTCGGTTAAAAAAAAAAAAAATTTTTTTTTTAATTTTAATTTTTTATTTTAATTAAGTCGGAAAATTTTCATTATTTAAATATTTAATGAAAATTATAACCGATCATTTCGTTTCCCCCTCCCCTCTTTCTCTCTCTCTCTTTCTTTCGTTTTCCCTTTTTTCCTTTTTTGTGAAATGGAATTAAAGAAAATTTCTTCAGGTAAAAAAGTCCCGTCGGTTAATAGAACGTTAAGGAAATAAATGATAAAGAAACCTGTGACGTAACATTTGTCTTCTCCCCTCCCCTCCCCTTCCCCTCCCTCCTCCTGTTTTGTTTTTTTTTCCGTTTTGGGTTTAAAGTTTAACGAACTTTTTCTTTTTTTTTTAATTTTTTTATTCAAGTGACAAGTCTATATAATCAACTTCCGTTTCATTTATTTTCTTCATTTCCTTTTTTAACATTTATTTCCGGTTTAAAAAATTTTCTTTTTTTTTTATTTAAAAAAAACGCGCGTGAATCCCCTTCACGTGTGATTTCTGATGATTTTCATTTTTTTCTTCTTTTTTTTTTCGAAAAACGTAAAACGGAAGTGACGTACACTAACGCGGATCGAGTCTCCCAAAAACAAAAAAGAAAAAAATATGTAATCACGGGTCTCATATTTAATCGCTCAAGGGGGTAATATTACAAAAAATATATTTTGGAAAATTTCAAACCGGAAACTGCGCGTGGAAACGGAACAGACCACATTTTCCGAAAAAAAAAAAAACCTAATAAACCGAAAGCACCGTCGAAACCCGGTGGGTGAAATTTGTTTCTCTGGCATCGAATGAATGAAAACAAAACCCCCCGAAATAATGATGATTATAAAGAAAAACAAAGGAAAATTTGTCGTTATTATTATTAAAAGTAAAGAAAATAATAATAATAATAATAATAAAAGTTTTTAAAATAAATGTAATAACAACTAATAACACTTAATAAACCTGTCAAAAAATTTATAAAAGCTAAATTCGAGGGAGAGAAAGAGAAAGAGAAAGAGAGAGAGAGAGAGAAAGAAAGGAAAGAAAAAGAGAGAGAGTGAGAGAGAGAAAGAAAGAGAAAGAAAAAGAGAGAGAGTGAGAGAGAGAAAGAAAGAGAAAGAAAAAAAGAGAGAGTGAGAGAGAGAAAGAAATAGAAGGAAAACTCTTTATAAAATATCGCTAAAACGTTTAAAAGGAAACAAAATACGGATTATAAGAAAATAAATAAATCGTGGAAGAAGAAAATAAAACAAAATTCACGTTAAAGGGGGGAAAAGAAACGATTAAATTAAAATTTTGGGAACCTTAAAACAAAACAAAACAAAAAAAAAAAATTTTCTTTCGGAAAAATGACAAGGAAACATTAGAAATTTTCACTCGCGCGAAGAGTGACGTCACAAATAATTTTCATTTTCATTTCCGGTTTTTTTTTTTTTTTGCGTTCTGTTTGTTCGTTCGACCTTCGCACGTCTCGCGGCGTAGTAATTTATATCGCTCGCGGAAATTATTCGCGATATTCAATAAATTTTTTTTGACCTCAATAACAACACAAAAAAAAAAAATTATTTTCGTGACAGGGTTGCCAACCGACGACGACGACGACTATTGTTGACGCGCGTAATTTAATTTAATCACATCACACGTACGTAAAAAAAAAAAAAATTTCAAATGATTTCCTCTTTTATTGAAATTTAAAGGAAATAATAATCATTTGCGATCTGATGTTGCGATTGTCGTTACGATTAAATAACAAAACCTAAATACTTCTAAACAAACGAACAAACGTTTATAAAATCAAATACAAAAACAAACAAACAAACGACACAAAATTAATAATAATAATAAGTGAGTTATCGCGTGTCCCGCAAAATTTAATTTCCCCCCACTCGCTCTTTCCCCCCCTTTTCCCCCACTTTTTAAAAAATGATTCCGTTTTATTCTGTCGCATTTATGCGTTTACTCTCTTTCGGAGAACACAAACGAACAAAAGAAAGAGAGAGAGAGAGTGAGAGAGAGATAGAGACAGAACCGTTTTTGTAAGATGAAAGGTAAATTTTTAATGTTTATTTTTTTACTGACAGTGACGATCGCGTGTTGTAAAAAAAACGAAAGAAAAAATTTCGACGAAAAAGGAAATAAAAAAATAAAAGATGATGAAGGAGAACAAGTCAGAATAAAAGATGATAGAAAAATGAAAAATGACGATGGAGTAGGCGGAGTAGGAGAAGTAGGAGGAGTAGGAGTCGTCGTTAAAAATTACGACGAAAAGATAAAAAAAGAAAACGTTAAAGATGATAGTGACAGCAGCGATGACGATGATGGCGACGGCGGCGGCGTCAGCAACGACGACAGCAGGAGCGACGATGAAGATTCTGTTGACACGACAAGCGAAGAATCCGACGAAAGTTACGAAGAAGAAAATGAAAATATGAAATTTTGTTTGAAACGTGAAAACGTGACCGAATGTAAGTTTTCATTTTTTTTTTTTTTATCTTTTAAATCGAATATTATTATTATTATTGTTTATTTACTCTATGGTTGGTTGTTTTAGCTCAAATGAAAAATTTTTTAATTAACAACACGAACGAGGATAAAAACGAACCGTTGAAAAAAACAATTTATTGCTTTCTTAAAAAAATGAATTTCGTAAGTATTGGTAGAAAAAAAAATTTCTTTTTTTTCCTTTTTCTACTGCCACGTTTAAAATCGTTGATAAATTATTAATTTTTTTTTACCTTCATATTAGCATCATCATCATACATTCTTTTTAACCCCTTTTTTCCTATCAAATTCTCACACTTTATCGAAATAAACAATAAATTTTTTTTTTTTTTTTTTTTCGAAATTCAAGTTCGACGGAAAAACCTGGAACGTGAAAGTGATAAGCGAAACAATGGAAGAAAATTCGATGATTTTCAAAACGATAAAAGAATGTTTAAAAAAAGACGACAAAACTTTGGAACCGCACGAGAGAACGTATAAAGCTCAAAAATGCATTTTAAATTCTAAAACCACTTGATGATAACCATGAACAAACAAACAAAAACAAAAAATTTTCTTTTTACCCCCATCAAAAGAAAATTTTGTTTGAGAAAAAGGAAAATGATTCGGAAAACTCACCGTCAGAATTTTTTTTCGATAATGCAGTTTCAGCAACGGAATCCTCACTGTGACTCCCGTTTAAAGTTTGAACGTTTCCACTTGTACCTGCAAATATTTTTTTCCCCTTAATAATAATAATAATAATGTAAAGAACTCTATGGTTTTTTTTTCTTTTTCATTTCCTTCCACTTCACCTTTTCTGGTGACACGAACGATAATTCGAAATTTAATATAAAGAAAAAAAATTTTTTTTTGTTTACCTAAATTGTCGGAGGAAGCTCGAACATCACCGGAATTTCTCGTCAATCCGGCGGCACCTTTTGTCAAAGGACTATGAAAAGACGTGCTTTTATGCCTTCTAATTGTCGGAAGTCTCGAAACAAAGGAAGCATTATGCTTAAAACTGGAAGAAACCATCCTGGAAAATAAATACATTAAAATATTATTATTATTATTTTTTTTTTCCTACCATCGTCATCATTATCATCATCATCACGATCGTTTAAGTTCGTAATAGATTCGTGTCAAACTAAATGATAGAGCTAAATGATAGCATTAAAAAAAAGAGCAGAAGCCATTTCTTTTCTTTTTTTTTTTTTTTTTAACTACCGAAAAAAGTGGGAAATTTCGTCGGTTACGGGGGGAGGGGAGGGGAGGGGAACAAAACTACCGCAGAAAAGCGTGTGTATATAAACGTGTGTGGGGTACTTATCAATATTAAAATGCCTTTTTCTTTCTACAAAAGCAAACTAAAAATAAATAAAAAAAAAATTACTCAGAGGTTTCGCTAAATTCTCTCTCTCTCTCTCTCTTACTCTTTTTAAAACAACCTATGTGAGAATGAAGGAGGAAGATGGTAAGGTCAAAGGTTCAAAGTTCACAAAACGCTGTTTACACGTTAAGAATTACGGTGATGAATAAAAATCCAAAAAAAAAAAAAAGAAAAAAAAAAAATTCGCTCTCTGATTGAGAGAGTGACGTAATGTCGATTGTGTCGTCATAAAAAAATAAACAACATGACGTCATCAATTACGTGCGTGCACGTGTACGTGTGTGTGTGTTTTCTAATTAATTTATTAAAATTCGAAATTTTTTTTTTTCGAATGAAAATTTTCTAATTAGCAATTAATTAGCGATAAATAAGCCTACTACTTCTTCTCTTCTATTTGTTCCAGAAAAAAAACCGAAACAAAAAAAAAAGGCAAATTAAAAATAATAATAATAATAATGATAATAATAATAATAATAATAAACTAAAAACTACCGGAGAAAAAACAAAACAAAAAAAAAAAAAAAATTAAACAATCAATTATTAACTCATGCAATAAAAAATAATAATAATAATACTTAAAAAATCAATTAGAAACAAATGGTAGTGGTGATTGTGGGAGGGGGGGGGTTGAAAAAAGTAAAAGAGAAGAAAAAAAAAAATTTAAGAAAATTAAGAAAATGAAAAAAAAAAAACCTGGAGAAAAATTTTTTTGTTGAAACTTACAGAGAAGAACTCGTAGGTTGAATCCTATCTAAAAATGTCTTCTCGGTATCGGCGGGTGTTTTCCTATCATCAATCACAAAAACAACAACAACAAAAAATAATAATAATAATAATAATAATAATAATAATTTTATTTTCGGGGTGTGACGTGCTTTGCTCTTAAGGCGTAAATATTCATCCATTTTTTTTTTTTTTTTGAAAATCCCCTTTGAAAGGATCCCCTTTTTTTTCTCAAATTCAATTTTCGGCCATTTTTTTTTTTTTTTGAACGGGAGATAAGTAAGAAGATTTTTGATTTTTTTTTTTTTTTGGGATTACGAATCCGTGAACGATCAAAAGGATATAATTTTGAGTTAGGCAAATCTGAATGAAGTAATATTATTATCATCATAATTATTATCAGATGGTAAAGTTTTTAAATTTCGCTATTAAACGAGTACCCGCGAAAATGTTTCAAGTTCCGCGAAAAACAAAAAAAATTTTATCGAGTTTTCGCAACACATTGAATTTTACCCGCTTTAATGCGAATCGTTAAATGAAATAAATTACGATAAGGTAAACATGAGGGAAACAATTTTTCGTACATTCATCCAATAGTACACGAACAACAAGAAGCGACGAACCCGTAAAAGAGTAAATTATTACAAAAAAAATGATTTCGCGAAAAAATTTTCCGCTGTCGGGGAAAAAAAATAAAAATTAAACCTTTAAAAATGACAGTAAAAGTACCCGAAAATACATAATAATAATAATAATAATAAATTATTATTTTTTGGGAAAATGATAAATTATTATTCTTCTTCTTCTTATTTTTCTATTCCTTTTTTTCTTTCTTTTTTTTTTTTTGAGGGAAGGGAGGGGGAATGTGAAGGAGACGAAAAAGAAGGTAAAATGAAAAAAAAAAGAGAGGGAAAAACGACGGTGAGGGAGAGAGGAAAAGGAACGTGGAAAATGGAAAACCTGCATGGAAAATTAAGTTACAAAATCCTTTTTAAATAAAATTTTTCCTTTTTTTTCCTTTTTTTTTCCTTTTTTTCCTTTTTTCCTTTACTCCAACTAATTTGGTTTTTCTCTTTTTGAAGAAAAGGAATCAAAAAGAAAAAGAAAGAAAAAAGTTTTTTAAAGTTTTAAAACTTTTTGACCGACAATTTTTTTTTTTTTTAAAGAAAGGGCTACCAACAAAATTTCAAAAATTAAAATCAAATCGAAATGGACAAAAAATAAAAAATAAAATTTCCGATGTTGAACCGGTTAGCAGACGAAATTTTTTTTAGTTTTTTTTTTTTCTCACTTTTCTTATCAATTCATCTAATTTTACCATTGAAAAGAATTGATTTTAAAATACGAGAAAAAGGAAAAAGAAAAAAAAAAAAACTTACGATGGAGGACTCGGAAGAGGAATTTGATGAATTTTCCACGTGGCGACACTTAGAGAATGTTCATCCGCGGCGTAACACCTCCATAAACATTGTATCAATGTGGCTGCCGGTTGCCTTCTTCTAATCATGTGCTTTTGTCTTTGTTGTTGTTGAACTTTTAAGGCGAATCCACTACCCAAAATCCCCTGGAGACAAAAATCAAAACCATTTTTCAAAAAAAAAAAAAAAAAACATGGCGTTTCGTTAAAAATAATGACAATCTTACCGCTGGTAACGCAAAAAAACTAATCCCTAATAATGCACAAAAACTGGCAATTAATTTACCCTGCCACGTGGCAGGTACCGTGTCACCGTAGCCTACGGTGCATAGAGTAATTACGCCCCACCATAGAGCGTCGGCAAAATTACTAAAATTTTTCGGATTGGCATCTTTTTCAGCGAGATAAACCAAAAATGATGCGAATATTAATCCTAGGAAGCCTATGTATAACGTTGTTATCAGTTCCTGCAAACGAAAAATCAATGACGTCACAAACCAGATTGAATTTTAAAAAACATTTTAAAGAAAAAAAAAAAAAAATGGCGGGTCAACTTGAAAGACATGTAAACCTTCGGGTGGGCTCCATTTAAAACTCATAACACTTATCCGCAGGATGGATTAAATAAGAAAAAGTTACTTAACCGCCTGCGGACATAAAGCAGTAGGCGTTTCTTTCGAAACCTTTAAAGACAAAAAAAAAGAAAGAGAGAGAGAGAGAGAGAGAGAAGGAGAGAGAGAAAGAAAAAACTTACTTGACGATGAGCATAAACGACCGAACCCAATAATTTCCATGTTCCTCCTCTACGATCCATTCGAACCATTCGAAGTATTTGAAAAAACCTGAGTCCTCTTAAGGCTGAAGCAGCCATTACTTGACCGTTTACTCCAACGGATAAAACAACTAACGACGCTGCTATCGTTATCACATCGACTATGCAAAAAGGTCTTTGTAAAAATTTTAACCTTCCTAACCATCCTTGGTACCTGGATCGACATCCCGACGACCATAACCTGTTTAAAATTACAAACAAAAAAATTCAAATGAAATAGTGATCCTTCATTAGAATATTCCAAACCTTTCGCGCCATTTTTATTTCGAATAAATCGTTTTCCCTTTCGTATGAGATTCGTAATTAATATAAAATGACATTTGTTCGTTCGTAAAAAAAGATTAACTACTAATCCTTTTTAAAATTCGTTAAAAAAAAAAAATGGCGCGACGATTATATATCTAATGAAATATTCATGGACACGTTAGTTTTTCTGTCGTTTAAAAACGTTTAAAAATGATTTTATCAGCAGACGACTAATTAAAAAAAAAAAAAAAAGGAAAACTTGTTGGGAAAATTATAATTGTAATAATAATAATAATAATTTCCCTGTTTTCTTTTCTTTTTATGTATCGTTTCCCACGTTTAAAAAGAAAAAACGATAACAAACAAACAAGCAAATAATGAAAACAAAAGAATTTGTGACGTCAAAACTATAACATCAATTCATTGATAACATATAATTAATTTATAATTAAGTTAATATAATAATAGTTGTTTTGGTTGTTTGTTTGTTTGTTTTCAAAATAGTTTTCCCTTTTTTTTTTAAATTTAAATTTTAAAAAAACCGTTCGGCGTGTGTGTGTGTGTATCTTTTGGCAACAAAATAATCCGTGTCAAGAAAATCTGGCAAATAATTTTTTTTGTCAAAAAAAAAAAAAAAAATTAGAAAGTCAAATTGTTTTGCGTTTAAAGTTTATAATAATATATAATAATAATAATAATAGAAGGATCGATTTTTAGCGAATTTATCAATCGTACACGCACACGCACGCACGCACACACACGCACTTAATTTTAAATCAAATAAAAATTTTCTCTATGGAACGTTTCGAAAATCCGCCATTTTTTTTTTTTTTTAAAGGAAAAGTGTAAAAAAGGATATCATCGGAATAAATGAGATTTTTTTTTTTAAAAGAAGGAAACAAATGATTTACTTTTTTTTAAAAGAACTACGACTCTGTAAGATTTACATATTTCAAAATGAGTCAACTTATAGTCAAGATTTTATTTTTTTTTTTCTTCTCTCTCTTTTTTTTTAATTGGAGTACGTTCAGAAAGTCGGTTAAATTACACGATCGGACCGTTGGGTCGAACTCTGACTCAAAATTATTTTTCTCTATGGAATTTTTACTTTCTTTCTTTCTTTCCAATACTTATTGCTAAAATTTTTTACTGAACAAAAAAAGTTATCGTTTTTCCCATTGACCGTTGAAAAAGATAAATAAAATTAAATTTTTTTTTGGGAATGATTTAAAAGACGCCATTTTGAATGACGTCACAAACAACAAAAATAATAATAATAATAGGTAAGTTTTTTTTTTTTTTTGGTCGTTGTAAGTTTCGAGAAATAATTAAAATTCCAGTAAGTTTTCTTTCTCTCTCTCTCTCTCTCTTTTTTCAGAATAGCCAACGTTTAAAAAATTATTAACTGGAAAATTGGAAAATTTGTTCTTTTCTTTTCGTATTAAAAAAAAAAAAAAAAAAATTTTTTTACAATAATTTAAGATCATATGCTGGAAGGAAGGACAATGATAATGATGATGATGATTTTTTTAAATCTACTTAATGGAAGGAAAAAAAAAAAAAAAAAAAAAAGGTTTTTCCGACGGGTTGACTTTCTTTTTTTTTTTTTTTTTTCCTTCAACCTAATTTTTTTTCTTATCTTTTTCGATAAAAAAAAAGAAAACGGCATTTTCTGGATAATATCATTTCCTTTAGGCGACAATTTCATTTCCAGAAAATGTATTCTCAGCATGAAAATTTTTTTCCAGTTTTCCAGTTTTTTTTTTTCTGTATATTTCCGACTTTAATTAATTTGATAACAATTTTTACGTTTCCATGATTTCGACAATATTGAAATTTATTTTTCTTTTTTTTTTTTTTTTTTGGGAGAGAAAAAAAAAAAAATCGATCTCGATTCGATATCGATCCCGACTCTTTAGAGAAAATCGAACCGGCGATGACGTAATAAAATATATAAAAAAAAAAACATACCTGAGAAAAAATTCAATTGAAAACCAAACGACAACAATTATTTCCATGTAGAAAAGCAAAATCTCAGCTTGGACTTGATATTCTTTAATTGTGGCAAACACGCTGAGAGCAAGGCACGAAAACACCACAAAAAATCTGTAACACAAAATAATAAAAACGAGTATTAATTACGTACGTTTGTTTGTTTCCGTTTCCGGTACAACGATTCGACTCGGACAAAAACAGGAAATGGTTGGTGTTTTATTTTTTTCCCCGAAAAAAAATATCTCCTAAATAAATAAATAAATAAAATTTATCGAAATAAATTAAACAATTCTCTCTCTCTCTCTCTCTTTCCCCCTCTCTCTCTTCCTCCCTCCCTCTCCCCTCCCTGTCCCTCCTCTCTCGCCCTCCCCCTCTCCCTCTCCATCTCTTTGTGAAACAGGAAAAAAAAATTAATAATAAAATCTACCGTTTTATTTTTTACTGGAAAAACGGTAAAGAAATGCAAAAAATTATTATTATTATTATTATTATTATTATTATTATTATTATTATTATTATTAATAAAAAATATAAAATAAAATAAAAATTAATATATATATGTACATAAAATTTTTTATTCGTTTTTTTTTTGAATTTCAACAATTTCATAAACGGAAAGAAATTGTGAAACGTACAAAAAAAAATTTTTTTTTTTTCATGAATTTTTTATATATAAATATTAAATTTTTCAAATTTGAAAAAAAAACGTGTACTTGAAAATGTACGCATAAAACAACGCACGCTCACGCATTTAAAAGAAAATTACTGTTATTATTATTATTATTATTATTAAATTACGTTCGAGTAAAATTTAAAAATGGCGTCGAAGCATCCTACAAACCCAAGGTTGCCCTCTTGTTTTTCTTGTTACTAACACAAACGAATAATTTTTTTTTTTTTTTTTTATTTACATTTCCCGTTACTTAACGTTACCCCAAACGCACTTACGCACACACACACACACACGCACACGCACACGCTTTAGGGAAACCGTTCCACGCATTCAATTCAAAAAAACGAATTAATATAATATTTATTAATTATTATATAAAAACGTGATTCGCGCCATTTTTTTTTAAATTATTAAAAAAAAAAAAAGGGGGGGAGGCAGAGATATAAACAAAAAAAAAATTTGAAATTTAGACAAGAGGAAGGAAAAACCTTAAGGGAAATTAACACGCGATATCAAAATATCAAAATTTTAAGTTTGAAAGTCTTTTACGATTAGTTGTTTACCCGCCGCCTTTCTTTCTTTTATTTTATTTTATTTTTTTTCCCTTTCAACGGGTCCCACAGGATTAAATGAGAAAAAGAGTTTCTGGGAAAAAAGAAAAAAAAAAAAAATTTCTTCTTTTTTTCGACCTCCCCCCCCCCTCCTCTTTTCCTTCTCTCATCTCTTTTCTTCTTTCCATCATCATCCCTCCTCGTTCCCGATTCATCCTTTTTTTTTTTTAAAAAAAAAAAAAAAATTAGTTTTTTGTTTTTTAATCCTGTTGTTTTTTCTTTCCCCTTCCCTTTCCCTCTTCCTCCTCCTCCTCCTCCTCCTCCTCCCACTTCCTACTTTCCTTGATGTTTTTAGAAAAGCAAATTATAATTGTTTTAAGAATATTTAAATGACGTCATTAAAAAAAAAGAGAAAATTTTTTTTTTTTTTTTTCCTTTTTTTCTGTTGGATGTTTTTACACGATGACGGTAAAAAGACGAAAAATGTTAATAATAATAATAATAATAATAATTTTTTAAAATTAAAATTTAATGCGTTTTGGGGGCCGTGCCTGAAATTTTCCATTTTCTAATTGCAAAAACGCAATTAGGTTTCGATTATTTTCCCGACGGAAAAGTCATCGTTCAGAGAAAACCGTTTCGCTGTTTTGCAAATGATAGACAAACGCGGATAGAAAAGAAAATTGTGGAAAATCCCCCTCCTCTCCTCCCTCCCAAAATAAAAATGACTGGAAAAATAAAAGAAATTGAAAAATTGAAATGGGTGAAAGAATGCGTGAAATAAAAACGGAAATAATTCGGGTTATAGTGGAGAAAACCGGAACCGGAAACCCTACCACACAATCGCTTTTGCGTAAAACAAACTCTCTCTCTCGCATTGTTCAATAACAACGCATATTGTTTGTTATTCATTCTAGAATATTCGATTCGAAATTTCTTCATGTAGACGTTAAAATGTTTTTTTTTCCGTCCCACGGAAAACGTAGATTTAATCTTTTATAAAAGCGAACGTAATAATAATAATAATAATATTGACAACGGTAATCTATTAAAACCGTTAATTAATAATAATAATAATAATAATAACTTGTTACCTCTTTACAAAATCAAAGAAAAATTCAATTTTGTAAACAAAATTTTGCCACCCTTGTTATTCAATAAACTTTTTTTTTTTTTTTTTTTTTTTTTTATTATCTCTATGATGTAAAATGATACTTGTTTATTTACTATATGATTTAAGTTTTTTTTTCGTCATTACTAAGGGGAATAATCGTCGTCGTTTCGATATAAGAAATTAAATACTCACACTATAATATGATACAAAATAGCTTGTACTCCTCTAGGACGTTCTAAAAAATTATAGACTCTTGTTTGTAATCTTCTATAACGAGCGTCGCGGCGGTTGGCGCGATAGTTGAGAGGTTTACCCAACAAACTCATGCGAGGTTGTTGGAGTCTACTTTTCGTTTTTTCACTTTTTCGCTCCGAGGACCTGTTAAAACACACAACAAACAATTTATTTATAATAACAAACAAATTCTATTTATAATTACATATATATGTATTTATTATTGAGTGAATGAAATTTAAGAAGAACCCAAACGTACACAACAACAACAACAACAACAACAATAATAATAATAATAATAATAATAATAATATGAATAAATCATAACGATTGACTTACAATTTTTTTTTTTTTTTCTTTCGAACTAGATTTTCAACAACCAGAAAATTTTTTCATTTTATTTTATATTATTTCGAAATCTCGAATCTTTTTCATATCCGTTTCCGGCAAAGTAAAAAAAAAAAAAAAAAATTGTATTTCATTTTATTTTATTTTACTTTTCTTTTGTAAACATTGATATTTTGCAATATGGCGTCATTGAAATTTAAACCAATAAAATGTTTTTGTTGAAAGAAAGAAAAATTTTTCCCATTCAACTTGCGTATTTTATTTGATTTCATTCTTATTATTATTATTATTATTATTATTATTATTATTATTATTTTAATAAGTTATTTTTCTTACGCATTCACGCACGCACGCACGGAAAAATAAATAAATGAAAATAATAATAATAATAATGTTAAAAATACATTTTACAAAATGTCGTCTTCCCATATATTAATGTAAATGTCGGTTTGCGGTTAATGAATAAATAAAATGGCCTCACGTAAATATATATATATATATATATATATATATATATATATATATATATATATATATATATATATATGAATATACATTTGTCGGGCGCCATTTTATTTAATTATTAACGTCCGGTTTGAACGATATAAATACAAATATCGAATCGACACGCCGGAAGTGACGACACCAACAACTTTTATTTTGTTTATTTTTTATTTTCTTATATTATCATCTTAATCGTCATCGTCATCGTCGTCGTCATCACGACTATAATTATCATTATTATCAAAACGTTTACGGTTTTTTTACCCCCCCCCTTTTAATTTTTTACCCTCTTCCCTCCTCCTCCCCTCCCCAACACAATAATTATATAAATCCGTTGCCACACTTTTGAAATTACGACCGACGATTAGTTATCATAATCGAACCCATCTCGATCAGGTGACGTGACGTTGTCATTAATTAATAATAATAATAATAATAATAATAATAATAATAATAATAATAATAATAATAATAATAATAATAATAATAATAAAACGAATTAATTATTTAATTTAAAGGCAAAAATAAAAAAAAATTCCACGCGATGAAAGTTTTACGTTAAAATTATTTTAAAAAAAAAAAACAAACAAACAAACGTTGATTTTTTTCAGTTTGTTGTTTGTTTAGTGTACGTCAATAATAATAATAATAATTGGTTTTTTTTTCTCTTTTTTATCGACTCTTTATTATTTTTAAATTTGTCAATAAATTTTACACGAGAATTAAATTTTAATTTTGTGTTTACAACATTTATTATAGACCAAAAAAAAAAAAAAAAACATTTTAGGGTTTAAGTAATGTTTTTTTTTTTTTTTTTTTTTTTTTTTATCGTCGTCGTTTAACGGAATGATACGACATTGAGATGAGCGGGGGAGAGGGGGGGGGAAATCAAATGCAATTATTAAAATTTATTACAGTCATTACCAACGTAACGGAGGGGGAAAAAAAAAAGTTTAATATTTTCGATTACGCAAAAAAAAAAAAAAAAAAGATAAAAATAATTTATTAACTTGACAAAATCTATCGAAGAGAATGAAAATAGTTTTTCCCACTATCGAAAGAATTTAACGATGTAAAACAACGTTAAAAAAAAAAATATCGTCTGCTTTACAAAAAAATGGAAAAATGGAAAAAAGGTGTTGTTGTTGCTCAACGAAAAAAAAAAAAAAAAAAAAAAAACCGACAATTTTTAAACTCGCTCGAGTGGTCAATACAATTTAAAAAAAAAAAAAAAGGGAGGGGGATGAAAGTTTTTTTTTTACCCTTTTTTTTACGGAGACAAAATTTACGCGGGAAAATTTTTATTTCCTTTTTTGTTCGATTTCTGAATTAGGAAAAAAAAAAGCAAACAAAAAAAGAAAACAAACGAGAAGAAGATAAACGGGAAATTTTTTTTTCTTTTTCGTTTTAAATAAAAATCCCGAAGAATAAGAAATAAAAAAAAAAAAAGAACCCGAAACGATTCTGAACGGTCAAACAAACAAACAAACAAACAGGCAAACAAACAAACGATCGGAAAAATAAAAGAAAAAAAAAAAGGTTACACTTTCACTTAAAAAAAACGAAAAAGAAATAAAAAAAAAAAAGAACACGAAACGATTTTGAACGGTCAAACAAACAAACAAACAAACAGGCAAACAAACAAACGATCGGAAAAATAAAAGAAAAAAAAAAAAAGGTTACACTTTCACTTAAAAAAAACGAATAAGAAATAAAAAAAAAAAAGAACACGAAACGATTCTGAACGGTCAAACAAACAAACAAACAAACAAACAGGCAAACAAACAAACGATCGGAAAAATAAAAGAAAAAAAAAAAAGGTTACACTTTCACTTAAAAAAAACGAACGAAAGAACGAACAAACTTAAAGATTTTCTTTCTTTTTTTTTATTTTTCCCTTCAAAACAAACAAACAAACGACGACTTCCATCGATCTATTTATACAAACAAAATTGTTTTTCAATACGATTTAAAAATAACAATACGAAAAAACTTATAATAATAATAACTTTTCAAATCTGCCATATTGAATTTTTTTTTTTTCCAGTTTCCCTTTTTCTTTTCTTTTTTCTTTCTTTCTTTCTTTCTTTCTTTCTTTCTTTCTTTCTTTCTTTCTTTCTTTCTTTCTTTCTTTCTTTCTTTCTTTCTCATTCTTTTGTTACAATAACAACAGTGACAAAAAAAAAAATAACAATAATGATAATAATAAAAGATAAAAATTATTTAATAAAAATAAAATGAATGAATAAATAAATAAATAAAAATTTTCCTTCTAATGAAAAATTTAATAAATAAATTATTGGCTCTCATGTAACTTATGTATGCGTTCCCGTACGCGCGTAATTGTTACGTCATAAAAAATACAAACGAACGGACAAAAGACGGGGGAGAGGGGGGGGGGTAGAAAAAAAGATCCTAATTAAAAATAAATAAATTAATAAAAATTAATTAGTTTTCGTTATTAATATAAATAATAATAATAATAATAATAATTGATGTTAATGAATATGACAAAATAAATTTATAATCTCTCTCTCTCTCTCTCACACACACACTCTATTTCTTTCTCTCTCTCTCTCACACTCACACACACACACTGTTTCTTTCTTTCTCTCTCTCTCTCACACTCACACACACACACAGGATTTTTTTTTCGGTTTTCTAAAACAAAACAAAAACAAAAATACGTTTGTTTGTTGTCTGTTTGAATTTTAAAAACAAAACAAAACATTCAGTGAAAAGGTGAATGGGGAAAAAAGTCAATCAATCAATCAATCAATCAATCAATGGAAAATTAACCTTTAAAATAAAATCGGGAAAAAAATAAATAAATCCTTTCGAAAAGAGATTTAAAAAGAAAAAAAAAAAGTGTCAATAGAAAAAATAAAATTAAAAAATTAAAAATTACAAAAAAAAAATAAAAATAAAAAAAAAGTGAAAATATTTAAGTCACGTGTCAGGAGAAAAGAAAAAAAAGAAAAAAAAAAAGAAATTAAATATTTTGTTTCTTTGTCGTTTGAAATCACGCCAATCCCCGAAAAGTTTCCGTATTTGACGTCATACATACGTCATCGATTTTAAAACGGTGACGTCAAAAGAATCTTTTTTAAATAATTCGGACCAGGCTGTGAAATTAGTGAGTCTCTTTCTCTCTCCTTCTTTCCCTTTCTTTTCTTTGCTCCCTCTCATTTCCTTTTTTTTGAACACTCGTTTTCTCCCCTTTTTTCGTACGGAAGGAGGAAGGGAAGAGGAAAAAAGAAAGAAAGAAAGAGAGTAAGAGAGAAAGAAAGTAAATCGAAACCGTTCAACTCTCATTGAAATTTTTTTTAACGTTCATCAAAACGAAATAAAAAAGAAAGAAAAAAGAAAAAAAAAAAAATTTCGCTTAACGCCATACCGCTTCACCATTATTTATTCCTTTCATTTTTCCTTTTTTTCCTTTTTTTTCCCTTTCCTTTTTTTCCTTTTTTTAAATAATTTGAATTCGAATCCATTCATTACAAAAAAAAATTGCTTTTGAAAATTTTAAAGCGCGTGATATTTTAACAACAACAACAACAAACATCCAAAAAAAAAAAAAAAACTTATTATTTTTAATGAAATTCCCATTGACTGAAGATTTTCCGAAGAAAAAAAAGAAAATTCCACCGGAAATATTTACTAATAAAACGAATATAATAATAATAATAATAATAATAATAATAATGATGATGATGATGATGATGATGGTGTTGATGATGATGATGTTAGTAATTAAAAGAAAAAAGGACTCTTTCGCACAATTCCCACAAGTGTTTTTCAATTAAATTACGTATATATCGAAATATTTAAATCAAATTATTTCGAGTATTGATCCTATTTTTTAAATCGTAATATTATCGAACGATTCGATTTAAAATCGAAATTTAGACGTAGTAAAATTAAAAATGTCATAGAAAAAAAAAAAAAAAAAAATTCACGTATTCACGAATTTTTTCTGCTTTATTTTTTTTTAAATCTTTTTATTTTATTTATTGTTATTATTATTTAACTTAAAATTGAATAAATTATAAAAAAAACAGAAAGAAAGTTCTAGAAATTTTTAAAAATAAACAAAATAAAAAAATAAAATAAAAAAAAAAAAAGGTAAAAAAGATACTTGGAACAAAAAGAAAGAAAAAGAAAAAAGTTTTTTCCTACTTTTTTTCATTACTTTTCATTGTGTAATCAGCGGCTGCTGGGGGGGGGGGCGGGGGCGGGG